GGATGGGGGGTGGAGAGGAGATTGATTTATTTTAAGGAAATGGTTCATGTGACTATGGAGGCTTGGTGACTCCAAAATGTGATGTTAAGCTGGCACGCTGAATACCCAGTTTGAGTCCAAAGGTAGGCTGTTGGCAGAAGTCCTTCTTACCCAGCGGAGGTCAGCCTTTGTTCTGTTAAGGCCCTTCACTTATTGACTGAGGCTTATCCACAGTATGGAGGATAATCTGCTTCACTCACAGTTAATTTCATCCAAAACACACCTTCACAGAAACATCCAGAATAATGTTTGACCAAATATCTGGGTACCCTAGATGTCCAGATTAATCTTCAGACTATCTTAACTTCATCAACAAAATGAGAATATCAGATGGTATAATAAATTTTATGGCCTCTTCTTGTTGAAAAAAAATCTGTATCTTTAGAATTTCAATTCTCATTCCTGCAGTATTTTATTTTTAGCAAGAACAACAAAATCCCATACTCTTCCCTTTTCCCTCTTTAAATGTCAGGGGTTTTGCTATATGGTTATAGCAAATCAAATTTCCCGAGGTTGTCTGGTCTTTTGAAACCATGTTGGAAACCACATATTTAATGTTTCTTCTGACTCCCTAAGGCTCTCAGAGACCTCTTGGCATGTTTTTCTCCCTAAAAACAGGACTTAGGCAATAGGGAACAGAGTTGCTGTACAACCATCAAACAACCCAGGAAGCCTTGTTGGAAGGGCATGAAACAGCATGAAAATTTCAATATAATCAAAGCAAAGGGCTAGAGAACCATTAACATACACCTCTTAATGTTCCTGAGGCTTTGACTTTCAGTGGATCATTGTCCTCTCCTCTAGTCTGTTTTCTGTTCAACCCTCATCTCCTTCTGGCCTCCTGTTCCTTCCAATAGCCTCTCACTAGCCCAACTTTCTGCCTGGAATTTTCCAGCTTTTTAGCATCTTCTCCCTTGAGATGCTTACATAACTGTTTACTTTGGCGACTTATTCCATTATTTCCTCTCTGGACAAGATGATTTTCCTAATCTTCTTTACTTCCTAGGGCTCCTGAACTCATAATTTGGATTCCTGTTGCCTTTTAAAGTAATTTATGGCAACCGTTTTTAATAGAATTTTGCGTTTTTCTACCTTCTTAGCTACTTTTCTTGTGAGAATACACACCAAATAAAAATGCCATTTGTCCTCAGGAAACTTACTTTTATCTCCAGCTGAAGTTTACCAAGCTGAAAATGAACACGTTAGACTTTACGACCGTTAAGTGGCCTTCTAGCTCCAAAGCTATTTGGTTGTGTTGGTAAAATGATGTTGAGGTTTAAGGAAGATTGCAGAAACATTCAACACACACATGAAATTTGGCAAAGGCCTTCTTCTGTCACTCTTTCATGGTTGTGTATGTATCTTGTTTTTAATGTGAAAATCATCCAATATTGTAAGAGTCAAGTGTTAATTTTTTTTAAGATTTTATTTATTTATTTGAGAGAGAGAGAGCAAGAGAGAGTGTAAGTGGAGGGGAGGGGCAGAGGGAGAAGGAAAAGCAGACTCCCCACTGAGCAGGGAGCCCGAGGCAATGCAGGGCTCCATCCTAGGACCCCAGGATCATAACTTGAGCCAAAGGCAAACGGCAGACACTTAACTGACTGAGCCACCCAGGCATCCCAACTCAAGAGTTTCTTATTCTACCTAGTGGCATTGTTCCTTTTTCACTTATTTGAGACTTTCTTCTTCACATTCTGGACTACATTTTTCTTATTTCCATACAGTTTATAGCTTTGCAGTGTCTTTTTGCCATACAGGAACCAGGTGTAAAACCTTCTTTCTGCAGGATCCCAAAAGCCACTAAATGATATGTGAGACCTCAGAACATTGTAATTCATTACTCCTGCCTTCTGACCAGTGGTCTTTGAAGGGGGTGTCAATACAAGGGTGCTTGCAAGGCATCATGGGATGCAAAAAAATATTCGTATCTAATTATGACATATTCATAATACAGCTATTATTTAATCTCATCCTTTAAAATTATCCTTATCTGCTTTAGAATGCATAAATTAATATAGTAGTAAATATATAGAGAATATCTATAACTATATCTATATTGAGTATGCTTGCTCAAAAGTTTCTTCTTTGGGATGTGTGATTAAAGAGTTTGGAGGCCAAATGTTGCCCTAGAAAATTCTTAATCTCATAGTAACATATAAATATTATATAATCTCATATTAGTATAAAACCTAGTGACTCTTAGACTTTGTAAACTCATTATTGAATATTACCCTTATTAATTTGCTCCTTTATATGTAAAATCATTTGGGTCTTGTATTAGTTAGAGTTCCTTGGTTGTAAGCAACAGAAACTAACTCTGACCAACTCAGGCAAGGATACTAAAAACGACACTGACAGCCTTAAAAAGTCAAGGGGGGAAAAGAACCTGAGCCATCTGGCCTCCTAGGAATAGGACTATGGCAGCCCTGGTCCTCAGGAGCAGCATCACCTGGACCCATCCTTAGAGCCCTGCCATTGGATGACTTAGCTCTAATTACCTCCTCCCTCAGTGTCCACTCCACTCAAGATTCACATTTCCAAGAAAAAGAATCTGAATGGACTACTGTGGGTCACATATCACACCCTAAAAAACCTTTTTCCAGTATCTTTCCATGTATATTTATTTCCTGTGGAGTGTGGCAGGAAGGTCCTTTCCAAACCATCCATGGTTATAAATTCAGACACCAGGACATGACCGTTTGCTAAGAAATGCCAACTCTAGTGACATAATCTTTTCTTCATATTTAGAAAGAGAATAAAAGTATCACATGATTACTCTAAAAGGTCATTTTCCTGCCTGGAGCAAAACTTTTTATTTTTTTTATTACTTGGTTGTGTTTTTTTTTTTTTTCCCCATTCCCTTCACATTTCAGTTAAATGACATTTGAATTCTTAAAATCTCTTTATGAAATTGAAACAAAAATGTTCAACAAGGATCAAGTATAAGGTAAGTTTAAATAAGTAAATAAATACCTTTAGAATAAATCTTAGTAAATTTAGAATCAATTTGAAGTTGAATTGATTTTAAGATCCATTTGCAGGGCACGTGTGGGGCTCACTTGTTTTAAGTGTCTGACTTCGGCTCTGGTCCTGATCTGGGAGTCCTGGGATCAGACTGCATCTGGCTCCAAGCTCAGAAGAGAGTCTGCTTGTCCCTCTCCCTCTGCCCCTCCCCCTGCTCATGCTCTCTCTCTCTCAAATAAATAAAATCTTAAAAAAATAAAATAAAATCCATTTACTTTTCCCACTTACATAAATAAATTATAATACTCTGATACTATAATAAAATCTGAGCTTAATCACTTCTACTTTTAATTTATAGAAAAAGACAATGTGAAGTGTTTAGATTTAAATTTAATTTTTCTGAAGGTTGAAATGCCTGGAGTAGAGGTGGAGGTAGAGGGTGTATTCTGGAGAAATGTGCTATTAAGTGATGATGCTCTTTCTTCAGATAGACTGTTAGAAAATATTTAAGGGACAATCTTCAAGCACAGATTAGATCATCTCCCTTGAATTTAAAAAATTATTTAGTGAGGATATTTTTCTCTGTCAAATAATTAACTTTTTCAAAGACAGAATTTGAAGGCCATAGATGAAGATTCTGTTTAGGACAGGATTTATACTATACATCGGTGGAATAGGTAGATGCATTTATGCAATTGTGAGATGCAATTAATGTGGAATTGAAACATACTGCCTACCCCTGTGCCCAAGTATATTCCACCAATATTTAGGCATATTTCCACCACCAAAATACACTTTTGGCTGAATATAGCCTTTGAGTTTCATGATAAATGTCAAATGCCAACTTGGAAGAATCAAATGTATCCAAATTTAAATCTTAATTAATGCCTTTGTCCTACTTGGCTTATAAGATAAATAGCCAGAGCCTAAAATAAATGCGACACCTGGGAGGTACTTTTCAAAACAGGGAAATCAGGGGGCACCTGCGTCACTCAGTTGGTTAAGCGTGTGACTCTTGGTTTCAGCTCAGGTCATGATCTCAGGGTTGTGAGATCAAGCCCTGCATTGGATTCTGTGCTCAGCATGGAATCTGCTTGAGATTCTCTCCCTCTTCCTCTCCGCCTTCTCGCTCTCTCTCTTTCTAAAATAAATAAAATCTTCAAAACAGGGAAATCAGGGAGTGGAAGCCCATGGTTTGGGTGTAACCCATCAAGTTCAGAGCAGGTCAAGGGAAGAGTACTGGACAGCCAGAGGCAGCCAGGCCTGCCTGCATGAGGAACAGGAATGTGAAATGCAAGGAGAGACTTTACTCCTAATTTTCTAAAGGATCAATTATGATTATATCTAACCAGGTGTAATTAGTGGGATGACAAGATTGAAAATTTTGGTTATACCTCTTTATTATAGTCCTTCCTTCTATAATCTCTCTAAAGGAAAAGAACTGATTGTATTTACATTGTTGGATTAAATAGATGCTGTTAATTTGCAGGTGTGATTTGTCCAAAGTTGATCATGTGATGGAAAATAATTTTATTCACATTCACAAGTAACCTACTCTGTGCGTACCACCATAGAAAAATTCTGAAATTCACCAGAATTTGGTAGTGAGCAGAGGGAGGAAGAGAGAGGGGAGGAGGCATATCATTCAAATAATAATTACATGCCAAACTATGTAATATAGACAGTTAAAAATGTAGAAGGTCAAAAAAATAGAGATTAGTGTGATTAGGATCAGAGTACTGTCAGGATAGGGGAATAAAACTTGAATGGGGCAATTAGGAGGGAGACATTTGGATATGAGAAACAGAAAATTAGAGGACTATTCTATATTTTGGCTATGACGAAATCCTGACTGAGGATACTTAAATATGAAGTTCAGGTCCCATGGCAGCTTTAAGGGAACAGAATTTTAATGATAGTTTGTAAGCAAATGTACTGCAACTGGAGTCTCTTTTCATGAGTAATTAATGCAAGAATTGAAGTCTTGTTTCTTTCAGGTGTGTCTGCACAGCTCACCGGTACTCGGCACCGTCGGAATACATCCGTAGGAACGCCATTTTGGATGGCTCCTGAGGTCAGATAGTTTTGAGAGGGACAAATGTAATATTTGATCCTTCTTGACTTTCCTTTTCATGCATACTCCATCTCCATATGTGTTTTGGAAAGGTACTAGAAGAAAATATCAATTGTGTTGTTTTTATGCAAGATTTTTGCATGTGTGAGAAGGAACGTGGGAGGTGCTCAGTACATGGACTGTGAATGAGCATATAAATAAATGAAGAATTGAATGAATGAATCAGATGATGTAAAGAGAAACTGCTTGCAGCCTTAATTTTCTGTTAAATTTACTTTTAATTGCTTAGCATGTATTCATATTATTGATATTTAGATTCCGGTTTTACATTATAGTAGAAATATGAAAATCCCTGGCCTTTGTTTAAGATCAGATTTTCGCTGATTAACCTGTATCCCAGGTTCCTACATTGAGTCAGTCTTGCTTGGGGACAACCCTCAGCTTGAATAGAATCTTTTCAAACCATTACCTTTGGGAAGCTGTGGATAAACTGCCAAAATTGCTGAGGGAAAAAGTTTTCTAGAGTCTCATCTTCTCTCCACAGCCACTGTTCATGCCTTTAATCTTTTTAATTATGTTTATCAGTAAAGAACACTTATGTTTGAAAGCTCTCTCTTCAACCTCTGGGAAACATTCTGCTATTTATTTACCATTCTCTAGGGAGTGAAGAGAGGGAAGTGGTTCAAATACTACATTAATATTGCAACATCTTAGAATGAAATGTGTTTGGGGATTAAACCCTTGTGCGCTATTTCTATTTTAATACTAATTCAATTAGTACTTGCAAAAAAAGTGAAATGTAAGTGGAATATAAAACATGGAGAAAAGATACTTTATCTTAAGAATCTTTTAAAAACTCCAATAGATTAAAAAACTGTTTTTTTTAGATTTTATTTATTTATTTGACACAGAGAGCAGCACAAACGGGGAAATGGCAGGCAGAGGGAGAGGGAGAAGAAGACTCCCCGCTGAGCAGGGAGCCCTATACGGGACTCAATCCCAGGACCCTGAGATCATGACCTGAGCCCAATGAAGGCAGACACTTAACCGACTAAGCCAGCCAGGTGCCCTGGATTCAAAAACTTTTAAACACAGTGTATATCCTGGAATAAAAATAGAAAGTGTAGTCATATAAACAAAACTAAAATTGAATAAGAGACTTTCAAGCGAGAGTTTCTTCAGTTTGTTCTGATATATTACTACTGTTTTAAAAGCTTATGAAAAAAATTTTAAAGTGGGAAATTAATAAAATATAGGGATAATATTAAACAGTGCAGGGCGCCTGGGTGGCTCAGTTGGTTAAGCGACTGCCTTCAGCTCAGGTCATGATCCTGGAGTCCCTGGATCGAGTCCCGCATCGGGCTCCCTGCTCAGCAGGGAGTCTGCTTCTCCCTCTGACCCTCCCCCCTCTCATGTGCTTTCTCTCATTCTCTCTCTCAAATAAATAAATAAAATCTTTAAAAAAAAAATATTAAACAGTGCATAGTAATAATATAAATACTATAATATATAATAAATGTATCATTACTTGATTAATATTAAATAATTAATAGACTAGTTTTATGTTTTCCATGTTATAATAACAAAGCCATTGTTATGTGTTTAAGTTTTCTTTTAGTAAAAAAGCAATTTTGATTAGTGGATCTTGGAACCACTGTCTAAGTAAAAGAAAATATTTTGATCTATCTAAAATATAATTACCAGAGTATTAAATGAGTTAATAATTAAAATCGACACTCCTAAATATGCAATTACCAGACCATCATTTTACTGATATGTCATTATTTATTAGTAAAATAGCACAAACTGGGTTTGAAAGTGCTTTTCTGCTTAACAAACCAATGGATGTTACCTAAAAGAGAAAGGTTCACTGTGGTCTTATCAAGCTGTCGTGTAAATATGTGTATGTTCCAGATTTTATGCATATTATGCTTATTTTTCTACAATAAACATTTTTCCAACTTATGAACGATGGGCAGTATTTCAATAAATTTCCACTTATCTAGAATTGTTGAAGTATATATATAGCTCGTGAAGGCATGGCATATATGCCAGCTCTATGTTATTAATGACAAATCTTTTAGAATTAGAAAGCAGCAAGGTAAATAGATTTTAATATATTTTCCATAACTAATGGCATAGAATTATTTTAGTGTTCTTAGGGCCTCAGAGGCAAGATTGTTCAATAATCAGTTGAACAGTGAAATTCTCTACTTGACATTTTTAAATTAAATTCTAGTTCAGAGGTAGCATTTGTTGGTTACATAAAGCCGTCCTTCTCAGGCTGGAGTCCGTGTGTGTCAGGATGAAAGGGACAAAGGAAACAGTGACCGTGGTAGGTGACCGTATCATTTTTGCAAGCCATGACACTTTGCAGAGAAAAAGGGGATGGTATTTATAATAACTCTAGGAAAGCATAAACTAAGGATGTCTTGGGCAAATTGGAGCATAAATTCACCCAAGCATTTGGCAAGATATTCCTAGGCCACATGTATGAAGTCATAAAATAACGAAAAAAATTGGTGGGGCAAAATACATTTTTATACTCAGGAAGACAAAGAGACACAACAGAATAGAAAATTCATATGCATGTTTTTTATTTTTATCAGCTTTATGGACATATAATTCCTATACCATAGAATTAACTCATTTGACGTGTGCAGTTTAATGATTTTTAGGTGTATGTTCACAGGGTTGTGCAACCATCATCACAGTCTAATTTTAGAGCATTTTCTTTCCCCCTAAAAGAAACCTCTTACTCATTAACAGTCAATCCCCATCTTCTCCCAAGCTGTCCTACACTAGGCAACCACTAATCTGCTTTTTTGCCTATGGAATTGCCTATTCTGGACATTTCATTTAAATGGAATCATACAATATGTGGCCTTGGTGTCTGGCTTCTTTCTCTTAGTGTTTACGCATGTTGTAGCATACATCAATAGTCTGTTCCTTTTATGGCTGAATAGTATTGCATTGTATGTATACACAGTATTTTGTTTATCCATCACCAGTTGATGGACATTTGGGTTGTTTCCACTTTGGGGCTATTATGACTAAAACTTCTGTGAATATTTGTCACATGAATTTTTAATATAAATCTTTGGACTTTCATGCTTGCTTTTGCTATGATGCTTGCTAAAATCACAAACTTCACCCTTTTTTTTTTTTTCATTTTCTGCTAGGTGATTGCATGTGAACAGCAACTGGATACCACTTATGATGCCAGGTGTGACACATGGTCCCTGGGGATCACGGCCATCGAGCTAGGGGATGGAGATCCTCCACTAGCCGACCTTCATCCCATGAGAGCGCTCTTCAAAATTCCAAGGTCAGAGAACTAACATGGGGTACAGTATCTGTAGCCCATCTTTCTTCCTTCAGCTGGTGCTCATCAGGGAAATATTCAGTATATTTCAGCAAGGTGGGAGCACAGTGGCCTAGGATATCTTCTGCCTCTTCTGAAACACTGTATGTATTCAGCGGTTTCATTTCCCTGGTCTAAGTAAGAGCTTTTTCTTGATACTCACTGTGTCTTCCTTTTGCCGGGATTTGAGCTCAGAAAGCAGCGGTTCCTCCCACTCTTTATCCACTCCCAAACTTGTCAGTAAGGCCCTGGGCCCCAGTTGGTGCCCCAGTGATTGGCTTTGCTTCACTCTGTCAATCCAGTGATTTGTTTTTTACTACTTGCTAAGACTTCTCTTTGGAGATTTAAAATGGTATTATTAATAAATTTATACACAAAATTCACTGATACAATAGCAAGGACTTTAAATATGTCAATGTTTGAATATATTCATATAAAACAGTAAACTTAGAATAATCTCTTTGGAGCCATGAAAGCACTTTCCTTTCTGTGTAGAGCTTTCCCCTTCATTGTGTATATTAATAAACTTTCCCCTGTCTGTCCTATTACTAACTAAATACTATTTTATATATGTTTTGGTTAGTTCCTAGCTCTTTCAGAAAACTGATGTGAAAAGACAGCCTAGGGGCGCCTGGGTGGCTCAGTTGGTTAGGCGACTGCCTTCGGCTCAGGTCATGATCCTGGAGTCCCTGGATCGAGTCCCGCATCAGGCTCCCTGCTCGGCAGGGAGTCTGCTTCTCCCTCTGCCCCTCCCCCCTCTCATGCTCTCTCTATCTCATTCTCTCTCTCAAATAAATAAATAAAATCTTAAAAAAAAAAAAAAAGACAGCCTATTTTTATTATACATGTGTTCTCCTTTGAGGACTGTCTGAAGGATTTTGCCTGGTACCATAGTCCCAATGGAATGCACACCAAGGGCCTGGGGTGACAGGGGTCGAAGGCAGTGGTGGGGTGGTATGTTATATAGTATTATTAAATTTTGTCATCCTAGTGCCTATAGCACATAGAATCATATATACGAAGCCCTCAGGGACAGTTCTCCAGTTCTAAAGAAATAATGCCAATATGTGATACTCATGTCTACATGGGTTCATTTGGAATATTGGGCACGTATTTAAATTAATAGAAGACCAAAGAATTTGAATGTATTTTTCATTTTATCTTTGAACTTCCTGTCTGATATATATGTTCTGAATTATAATGCCTTTATCATCCTTTACATAACAATTTCCATGTAAATCTCAGGTCTAGCTCTTTGTAAAATATGCTGCTTGGTTGGTAAGTGGGGAAACAAGATTACAAAAAAGAACAGAAAACCTGCCCTATACCAAGTTTAAGACATTTCATTAAATTTGAGGAAAACAGAAAAAAAAATCTACATTTCCTAACTCCTACTGTCATTCAGTCTGTAAGATGAAGCACTACACTTCCTGGGCCATTTTAATTATGGTTTAAACTACCAGAGTTAGCCGGATGTTGTTATTCTTGGTGATGACACCAGATGGACAAGGGATGACACCATTGATGTTTCTTATACCTGTGAGCAAGGTGCCTCTGGAAATGGCATCTTCTTACTTGTTTCTTATTACTTCGGCCACTGGTATATCTCTAGCATGAAGGTCTTAGAACACGAACTGTAGAAATATTTAGAAAAAAAAAATAAGGGATCTGAAAATCTACCCTGTTCTAAGTGTTCTAAAATCATCAAAACTTTGTTATACTCCAAGCAAGCCAATAAATCTCTTAGAAAGGAAATTTTCAGGAGGACAAGAAACAGAGCAAGACTACTGGGGAAGAGAATTCTTTTAATGTGCAAATCAGCAATCTTCAAATAGTCCTAAGAATTGTACAATGAGCTCGAGGCGTGATCTAGGGTAGATGAGTGGCTGCACTTTTCTTTAATGAGCCTATATAAACTGTACACTAATTTCATTATAAGCTATTTAAGGAGTAATGCAGAACTGAAGACGAAGTGTTTCCATCCCACTAATGAAAACAAAGAGCTGTTAGGGTTAGTGGAAAGCAGTATTTCAGCAAATTCAGCTATCATGGTTGATCAGTGCTGCTTGATTACAGACTTAGATCAGCCTCATTTCCAAGGGAGGTGCCTTCGTATTCATGAACATGCCAAAGAAGGACAAGATTTGTTTGGCCTAGAAATAAAGGCAACTAATAACAAAATCTTTTAAGTGGCATTCAGAGCTTTCTAGCTAATCATATTTCCCAGTTCCTTACTTTCATAACCTTGTTTCCAGCAACAACAGAACAACTCCTAAAGGCATTCTACTCTGCCCCTGTCTGCTACAGTGTCCCTTGTATTCTGAATGACACACCTTTCAGGTCACCTCTGTGTACCCTGGATATTCCTCAGAGACTTCTGCAGGACTCAAAGTAAAAAAAAAAAAAAAATCCCCAGTATTCGCTGTTTCTATTTTGCCAAGTATTGATGTTTCTCCCTAGGGCACTCAGGTAAAAGCAAAAAGATTCCTTAAAAGAAAAAATCAGAAAAATTGGGTCATATATTAAGTGCTTTCTGAGAAACAAGGAAGCTGTCATTTTATATGAAGAATGCTTAATAACTAATTATCTCTCTTTGAATCGGAAAATTGTGGTATGTTTGATTATGTCTGGCAGAACCTCTGATCGCACTAATGCTCTAGTCTGTCCGGCTCTGATTTTGCACCGACTGACCAATGTGCACAATCCAACCTTGATTCTTATTTTTCTAGGAATCCACCCCCCAAACTAAGACAGCCTGAGATATGGTCAGCAGAATTCAATGACTTCATTAGCAAGTGAGTAACAATAGAGTCTTTTAAAAAAACGAAGAGATACCATCCTGCTAGAACTTTGAAATGTGCCTTTTATAACACTTCTGAATCTCCTCCTTATTTCTTATCTATTGAACAGCTCCAGAGGGTGTCCATTATTGTCTTCAAAACAAGCATTTGTACTGTCCTCTGAACGTTCAGTGAATCCATTATTGCTCAAATAATGATCTTAGGGTCATGTTCATTTGCTTAAAGATAGCTATGCTTCTGAGGTTGCTTCATGGTCCATGAACACATCCTTCCATCCACCTGCCTTTTGCAAGCTACGCCTTCCCATCTCCCACCTACTCACCCACCATCGGTTCAATCAGCTCTTTTTAACCCTTTATTTATCTGCATCACTCATTCCTGTCGCAGTCAGGGAATTTTCATTGTAGTCGGTGAATCAGATAATTGTATCGATAAAATGCTTATGTATTTGATATTCAGTGAACATTTTTAATTTGACAAATATTTAACACAAGTGCAGTGCCTCTGGGCAATCAACTGGAAGATATGAGTCAATAATTTCTAAAAATCTGCCCCATAAACCTGTTTTCACCATCTTACTATGTCTTTACCATAAATAATAATAATAATAATAATAATAGAAAATAAGGTAAGGGATGACCCCAGGTTGTAAATGGGAGACAGGAGACATTAAGATTACATGTGTCAGGGACGTCTACATGGCTCAGTCAGTTAAGCATCTGTCTTCGGATCAGGTCATGATCCCAGAGTCCTGGGATTGAACCCCACATCAGGCTCTTGGCTCAGCCAGGAGTCTGCTTCTCTGTCTCCCTCTGCTGCTCCCCCTGCTTGTGCTCTCTTGCTCTCTGTCTAATAAATAAAATCTTTAAAAAAAAAAGATTACGTGTGTCAGACACCACTCAGAAAATGTAGAAAGGGCAAAGAAAGTGGAGGAACCAGTCGTACACATACCGCAATCATTGGTTTTTCTACCAAGAATATCTCCCTATTCCCTTATTCCTATAAAGACAAGAGGCTTAGATTTAAGGGGTGTGAAAACCCGAGGATTGATAGTCCATTTTGTTCCCCAGATTTCACATGAGCATCTCTTACTGGAGTACAGACTGTGCACTACAGAATATTTGATAAAGTGCAGTCAGACTTCACACATCTCCTGGGAGGATCCCTGGTAACTTTAGAGGGCTCCCCAAAATTCGTAATTGTGCCCCACGTCTGCAGTCCTTCCACACAAATCCTCCATTGAACCTGGTGACTTTGACACGTTTCACACCATTTCACCTAGCATTCTGCCCTGTGGGCTATCGCTGCATTTTGTTCCTTTTCTGCTAGTAACACCTCTTTAGATGCTTCTCTTCCCAGCGAGACAGTGAGTAACTGCAGGGCACCAAATATGCCTTACTTGTCCGTGCAACGCCGCTGTCCAGCAGAGTGCCTGGTACATACCAGCTATCTGATACACTTTTACTTAGATAAAAGAATTTCATATGTGACTATACTCAATCCATGGAGCAAGTGCTACAGATGTCAGAAATGGATGCGTTCTGTTAAACTAAATGATCATGAAGAGCACTTGTTCTTATGTTCAGATATCATCATCCTGATTCCTTAGCATATTTTACCATCCTTGAGAAATATGTTGCCGGTTAATAAATTGCCAAACCATCATCCCAGGAGGAGTAACAGTACAGATTAGAAATGCCACTGCCCAAATCAAGGCATGGACTTCTTCTTCCTCTCTCTTTTTTTTCTTTTTCTATGTCGCCAAGTGCCAGCCCACCTCTGACCAGTTGTCTCACTAGCATAGATCCTCTGAATCCCAGGGTGGGAAGGGTACTGGAAGTTGATACAGCCCAAACCATATCCAGAGCGTAAATCCTTCCCGAGCATGTGCACTGAGTGGCCATCCCGTCAGGATGTCCTCATCCCTAATAAAGGTGATCCTACCCAGTGCAGCCCATTCTAACTTTGAGAAGCCTCCCTGATGAGAAGTTCTTCCTTACGCTGCCCTGAAATCTCTTTCTCTCTTAATTCCACTAATTGATCCTGGGTTCTTTGTCTCTTGTGACCACTGAAAACTAGTCTAATCCCTCTTCCGAATATTTGAAGACAGCTGTCATGGCTGATTAAATGTCCCAGTTGTTCAAATGTCCCTTCTGCAGTGGTGTTCCAAGTGTTCTCATTAGCTTTATCCTTTCTCACGCTACTATCTCGTTGAACCTACCAAGAGGTGTGGCATGCTTTGGTGCATTTGCTCTATATAGAGACCTCCAAAAATGTCCACTGATGTGGGATTTAAACATCCCCAGCATATTAGTTTAGCAGTTTTATCACGTAGAAAGAAATAGATCAATTGAGAAGCCTTTAAAAGCATTAGGGGAGGGAAACAGAAAAGTTTGTTTTAATTTTAGATAAGCTTTCAAACTGTAATGACTTTGATGCTTCATTCTTTAGCTTGCTGGCTCATAAAGGAGCCTGCTGGGGAGACGGCATTTAATCACCACTATGCCAGCACGCTTGCTGGGGCACGAGGGAGTCATGTTTAGTCGGAAGTTGGTAAGACTACATGGCATTGCTCGCAGATGTGTCCACTTTCACAAACATGCATTTCATCATATTGCAGGTTAACATTCTTTGAGATATGCTTCTCAGGATGAACATTTGTGAGGAGCATTGCTCTCTTGTGTTACAGTAGTTTTTAGGAATAATAATAATAATGTCAAAACTCGAACCTATCTAGTCATTACATCTTTCTTTCTTTCTTTCTTTTTCTTTCTTTCTTTGTCTCTCTCTCTCTTTTTTTTTTTTTTTTGCCAGTGCAGATGCTTGACTAAAGATTATGAAAAGCGTCCAACAGTGTCAGATCTTTTAGAGCATAAATTCATCACTCAAATTGAGGGCAAAGATGTGATGTTACAAAAACAACTCATGGAATTCATCAACATTCATCAAGGCACGGGCGGCACAGAAAAGTCCAGGTAATCAAATAATATCTTCACTTGCAAAGTCCAAACATCACCTAATGACGCTGAACAATTTTATAATGCAATAGTTGTTAAGGTGAGAAAAGAACTAATTTAAATTAGTTCACTGTGATTCCGAGATAAGGGGATACTTGCATGAAAAGTGAATTGAGTTGCATCCCAATATTGGTAACATTGCTCGCAGCATTTTCTAAACAACTTCATCAGAATGAAGAATGTAAACTTCAGTAGATGATTAGTATTGGCATATATTTTCTTGTGTTTTCTGTTCTTCTGTAAAGTTAAGGTATCTTACATTTGAGATTTAAAAAGGAACATAAACCTTGAAAGACTTGGTATCATTTTTTCTGGCTAAACTGTATTCAGAAGTCATTTTAAATATCATTATTCCTACTTCCTATTTGGGTTTCTAATAATCTACTATGTATAGTTTATGTAATACTGAATATCTTTTTACTTATTATAGGTAGTATATATGTTTATTTCAGGGAATTTAGAAGATACAGAGAAGTATATAACCAAATCAATCAAGTATAACATTTTAATCTATAACCTTTTAGTATCTTATGAATGGATATACATTTTTTAAAAATTAGAATAATATTTATAGGTGTTCTGGAGCCTGCTTTTCTTTTTAAAACTTTGCAATCCCCATCACCTATTTCACCCATCCCTCCCATACTCTCTCCGTTCTGGCAACCACCAGTTTGTTCTCTGTATTTATGAGTCTGTTTGGGGTTTTTTTTTGTTTGTTTATTTGTTTTGTTTTTTAGATTCTACATATAAGTGAAATGATATGATATTTGTCTCTCTCTGTTGAATTTGTTTTACTTATCATAATACCCTCCAGGTCCATTCATGTTGTTCAAATGGCAAGATCTCTTTTTTTATAGCTGAGTAATATTCCATTTATATATATATATATATATATACATATATATATACACACCAAATTTTCTTTACCCATTTACCTTTCCATAGACACTTGGGTTGTTTACATGCCTTGACTATTGTAAATGAGGGACTATTGTAAATGAGGCCACAGGGGTGCATATACCTTTTCAAATTAGTGTTTTCATTTTCTTTGGGTAAATAGCTATTAGTGGAATTAGTGGAATTTATGGTATTACTATTTTAAATTTTTTGAGGAATCTCCATACTGTTTTGCCCAGTAGCTACACCAGCTTACATTCCCACCAGCAGTGCGTGAGTGGTCCGTTTTTTCCACATCCTCACTGACACTTATTATTTCTTGTCTTTTCGATATTAGCCATTCTGACAGGTGAGCGGTGATATCTCATTGTAGTTTTGATTTGCATTTCCCTGGTGATTAGGGATCTTGAACATCTTTTCATGCGTCTGTTAGCCATCTCTATATCTTTGGAAAAATGTCTATTCAAGTCTTCATCCCATTTTTAATCAGATTATTTGTTAGTGTTGGGTTGTATAAGTTCTTTATATATTTTGGATGTTAAATCCTTTATTGGATATATCATTTGCATATATCTTTTCCCATTCAGTAGGTTGCCTTTTCATTTTGTTGATGGTCTCCTTTGTTGTGCAAAAGCTTTTTATTTTGATGTAGTCCTGATAGTTTATTTCTGCTTTTGTTTTCCTTGCCTAAAGAAACATTTCCATAAATAATGTTGCTAAGGACAATGTCCAAGAGACTACTGCCTATGTTATCTTTTAGTTTTAATTTTCTTTTTTTTTATTCTTATGTTAATCCCCATACATTACATCATTAGTTTTAGATGAAGTGTTCCATGATTCATTGTTTGTGCATAACACCCAATGCTCCATGCAGAATGTGCCCTCCTCAATACCCACCACCAGGCTAACCCATCCTCCAACCCCCCTCCCCTCTAGAACCCTCAGTTTGTTTTTCAGAGTCCATTGTCTCTCATGGTTCGTCTACCCCTCCAATTTCCCCCGCTTCATTCTTCCCCTCCCGCTACCTTCTTCTTCTTCTTCTTTTTTTTCTTCACATATATTGCATTATTTGTTTCAGAGGTACAGATCTGAGATTTAACAGTCTTGCACAATATCTTTTAGTTTTATGGTTTCAGGTCTCACATCTAGGTCTTTAACCCATCTTGAGTTTATTTTTGTGTAAGAAAGTGGTCCAGTTTCATTCTTTTACATGTAGCTGTCCAGGTTTCCCAACACCACTGAAGAAACTTTTTTTACCCCATTGTATATTCTTGTTTCCTTTTTCATAGATTAATTGACCATATGAGAGTAGGTTTATTTCTGGGCTCTCTATCCTCTTCCATTGATCTATGTGTTGGAGCCTGCTTTTTTTCACTGAATAGTGAATATGCATGTCATTAAATCCATGTCATTCGTATCATTCTATGACAGATTTCTTTAATTGCTGCAAACATTACCTTGCATGACTATTCAATGACTGATTTAAATAATCCCCTACTATTAGATATTTAGGTTGTTACTAATTGTTTCTATCTCTAATAAGTAACACTGTAATGAACAGAGTTGCACACGAATCCCTTATTATTTCCTTAAGATAAATTCCTAGAGATAGTGCTAAGTCAAAGAGTAGTCTTGTAGTTTCAGTTTATTCTTGAGAATTCTATTAGTTTCATTTAAGGAGCATATCACTATTTAAGGGCTAAGTTAGGAGAAGTGAGTAAAAAATAGTGCATGACTTAAAAGGTGATTCTATTTGAATTCCTGTTGGGGGTTACATGCTTCATTCCTATTTTTTTAATGCCTAACTGTGTGCCAGACATTGTTAGGACTTTATATTATCTCATGTGATTTTACAACATCCCCAAGGGAAGTGTTCTAGGACACTCCATTTTTACAACTGAGAAGAACCAAAGTTTGCAGAGGCTAATTAGCTTGTACAAGGCTACACAGGTAATGAATGGCTTAGCTGGAATTCAAATCCTGATCCCTAAGTCCAGGCTTTATTCACATGAGTAAACAGAGTGATGATGGTAGACATCTCTGGAGGTAATAGGCCTTGCCTATATGAGTTTACAGCCTTGCTGGAGAGACAGAAGTCATATACCTATAGTGAGGAAACATTACGTTGTGAGTGGAATGAATTACAGAGAAGGAAGGAGGCAGGTAGTTTACAGTGAGGAGGTGGCCGTGGGCTCATACATGTCCTTCCTTCCTTCTTTGTGTGACCACAGTTCCATAGTCAGCCACAACCCCATTCTTCCCAGAGCAAGTGGACAAACAACAAGCAAACAAACAAAACGGAAATTGAAGTATACGAGCATTGTGTCAGGTGCTCAAGAACTATGTCAAGAACTATGGAGAATTTGAGATTTTACCTTATTTGCAAGCTAATAAGTTGACCTGCCTGTTTCAAGCATATTGGAAGAAGATAGGAGACTAAAGGATCAGAGAAAAGGGCCTTACTATTCTTGTTAAGCCAGCAACATGAGTCTTATATTCATGTTGGTTATTCTTGCCCCACAAGTCCTAGTGTTGATGTGGAATGGCCTAGATGGATGGGTGTACACAGTGGGTTTGCCACATAGTGTAGGAACCCTGAGCTTAGGAAACTCTGGTCTTTGAAAAGGGAAGGGCTAGCGAACCTGCCCAAACTTTGTCCTGGAGCAGACATTATCTTTACTATTCTGTTCAGCAAACAAAACTTCCATCTGTCCTGGAGAGAGACATTATCTCTAACTTCCAAAACCATTTGCTATACAAGTATCCTTGAAAATATAGTCTGGAAAAAAAGCTAATATAAGACATACAGAAATGAGAGGGACCTATGGATAATTGTCTCCCAACATTCAAGCACCATAAGAATGGTTGAATTACACAATATTTAGATTCTAAGTCTGTTGCTCTAAGTTCAGAGATCAAAATAAAGAAAAAAATTATTGAAAACAATTCTATATTGGGCACTGCATTAGGCTCAACACTTGTGTTTCTGAGTCACAAAATTGATTCTTGTTTCTCTTTTTAAGAATTCAGAATATGTTTTCAATATGAGAACTTCTGTTTCATTCAGTTGTGGAAAATTTTCAGTCATTATTCCATTAAATATTGATCTTCTCTTATTCTTTTTATTTTCTACTTCTAAGAGATAAATATTGCAATGCCCCAATATAGCTTATGTGTCTTATATTTTCTCTTTTATGTTTGTCATTTCTTTATCAATCTTTGCTGTATTTTGGGTTTCTTCAAAATTGTTTCTCAATTCACTAATTCTTAGAATAGGATTAGTCTAGATTTACCCTGCATACTTATTTTTCATGCTGATATTTCTGTCAACAGCTGTATTTTTCATTTCTACAATTTCTTACTTTTTGTAAACATTCTTTATTCATGTCTGACTTTATATCTGGCTATTCCTATCTGGCTAATTTATTTTTTTCTTTTTTTGTGACTGTAATTCTTTTCTTTTTCTCTGTAGACTCTTTAATAGTCATTTTTTGATTTGCATTTCAACCAGGGTGAATTGTCCTAATTATTGAGTTTGTTTGTTTCCTTGATATTTTGGTGTTCTACTGAGGTTTAGAATTTTGGTTTGTTCTCCCACCTGGAACGGGAGGGGTTTTGCTCTACTTTTTCTTTTCTTCTGCATTCTCTTCTCCTATTTTGGAAGTTTTGCCTTTGCCATAATCTGGCTTCAGGAGTCTTTCTGCCCCATAGGACTTTGAGGATATTGCAGATCTGGCCATGGAGCCAATAGGAAGTAGACCCCGTGTCTGTGCTTGGTCTTGCCATCGCAGGTACTTGGCTCCATAAAAGGAAGAAGATGCAGAATTTTTTCAATGTTCTCTTCCAGGTAAGAGGCACCCCTCTCCACATTCAGCTACATTCTCTCTACCCAGTCTAGGTCAGGGCCTTCATTGTGACTGGGGCATTTCATTTCCTTTACTGTTCAGTCTCTTCTGCCTTTTTCTAGTCCTGGACTTTGTGTCAGCCTATGGTTTCTGCCCTCTTACCCAGGGTGTATCTGACCTGTTAGGTCCACTGTCATGTTCATCTTGTTTTGGAGA